ACTAAATCCCCAGCCCTCTTCTATAGTTTTAAGTAAAGAGAATCTGTAGCCACATAATGAAAGAATTGTGGTGTTTCTTACCTATTAGGGATTCTTTTCAGGCTGTGTAGAAGGTTCAGAAGTGGAAGGTAGCTCAACTGATGGTTATCAACATATGCGTCCACAGCTTTTTGGCTCAAAAAACAGAAGGCTCTTATATATGCTCCTTGAAGCAGTGCCTGGTAATAGAAATTAGAAAGACTAATTTTTGAAATTAAAGTGTAGATACTTCTTGCTGTGAGTCTAGGCTTTAGGCTGAGACCTCTAAATGAGAATGTAAAGCTAAGGGATTTTTGATATGAAGGTGGGTCCCACTTGTGTTTCAAAATAAAACAAAATGTTTATTTTAATTAAATGTTTTGAGGCTGTAGCATTGGTCATGCTAAGCATATGTTACTACTAAACTGTTCACCCATTTTGGAACATTTTATTTTACAGCATTTCTATAACATTTTTGGAATGCCAAAAAATAGAAAGTCTGTGTCACTGTTTTTCTAAAAAATTATTGTCATTCTGTTCTTCAGCTTCACATGTTTAGAAATAAATAATAAAATTATTTCATTGTTTTGCTTTAATAGTGTTAAGTTCCAGAGGCCAGTATACATGTCACTTGTGTTTCATATGAAAAGCTTCTGCTTTGGCTAATGGCATTTTATTTTGCTACTTTAAAAAATAAGGCTGCAGAGCTTTAATTTAGAATGCATTTTGAACATTTTGGCCTATTAAAGTTGATACATGGATACAACCAGTAAAATTCGTTCAGAATTTCATCACCTTTCATCACTCCTCTTTCCTTCCCCTCCTCATCCTTCTTGTCCACCTGCTATGTACCTTTCTCCCCCATTTTCTTCTCTGCATCCCTTCATGTCTGAATCTGATATAAGGAAAATAGTTTATAACCATCTGATTAGATGGAATAAGCTCTCTTTGCTTGCATTTGATTTAATTTACCTTTAATTTACTTAAGATTTGATTTTTTTCTTAGTTAAGTGAAACTGTGTGTTTTATTTATTATTTGAAGAGAAATTCTGATTCTTAGCTCCTGCTGAGTAAAAAAAGTGACAGGCTGCTCAGTGCTGCAGACGGTGATCACTGTTTGTGGTTCATTTTGAGTCCTGGAAATCTTATGTGGAGAATAGAAAGAGGTTAGGTAGAAAGAAAAGTACTAGAAAAAAGTCAGTTAGGACTGTACTGCCTGCCAGAGTTAAGCAGGAGGAGCAGAGCATCCATTCTGAATTGGTACACTAAGAAGCAAAAATCTAATTAACAGAGTCACATTTCTGGAGCAGAAGACAGTGATTAAAATTTTGGTGAACTACTCAAAATTACTGACATACACATCAAAATGCTGACAACTTACAAAGGCTTTTTTTTTTAATGTTCTGCATTTTAAGAACAAATGTATAAATAGGGAATTCATTATGCTTCTTGTTCTCAAATGGCCTTTAATTGTATGGCATGAAAATGTTGTTTTTTTTACTATTTAATGTTTATATATTAATGAAGTTTATGTTCAGTCAGTGCTTTTAAAAGCATGTAACATCAGAGCTGAGATCCTGTATTTGACACAGGATGGATAACTGATTTGTAGGAAGTTTCTGATTTCAAATTGACTTATTTAGTAATAACCATTTAATAAATATGCACCTAGTACTGTTAGTTAAGCAGTGATGACACAGTGATAAATAAGACATGGTCCTGACTGCAGTTGCTTACCCTTGACTCTAGTGGGAGGAAAATGCATTTAATTAGACCATGTATGTGGAACAGTGTGGAGGAAGAATGGCCACTATCAGTGTGGTGGAAGAATGAACAGTATCAAATATATCTAATATCTTACCTCTTTATACCATCTTCAGATACTATCATTGTGGTCCAAGTCACTAATACTGCCTCACTGGATTAATTTAATTTTCTGCTTCTACCCTTTTCCTGTATTCTAGGCTCGGCACACAAAGCTAAAATGGTCATTCAGAAATGTTAAGTTTGATCATGTACATTCATGTTCAGAATCCGTCAGTGGATTCTCAAATCCCTTAGAGCAAAAATTGAAATCCTTAGCGTGACCTATAAACTCAAGCATTAGTATTGGTTTTCAGATATTTACATTGTGAAATTATTCCTGAGCAGCACAAGCGTAAGGAGTACTGTTTGAGGAGGAAGGATAAGGGTATCGGAAGTGAAGGAGGTGGAAACATCAAAGAGGGGATTTCTATCACAGTAGCAGGAAAGTTGTGCCCCATTCCTTGGCAGCTGTTGCCAATTAATTATTCTCATTTAAAAGGCATAGATCAGTGATGTTGAACTTCTAACGACTGAGTGCCCAAACTGCAACACAGAATCCACTTATTTATTGCAAAGTGACAGCGCTACAATTAAACTTGAATACTGAGATTTTGGTTTAGAAAAACAACTGTTATCTAGTACTCAGCTGCTGCAGTGTCTTTGCTGGCGTGGGGACAGAGAGGGCTCTGTGTGCCCACTGTGGCACATGTACCATATAGGTTTTCTACCACTGAGATAGATGTTTTGACGTTAAAGAAAGTATATCTTATTTCCTAGACATATTTTTTCTTTTCTAAAGCAAACAAAAAGGATTTGGATTTGGAAAGAAAATGAAATTTGAACCAGGTATTTGAATAAATGGAAGAGAAAGAAAAAGAGACATTTTGAATTTATGAGTTTAAGTAGTGAAGTCAGCCTTTAAATGATTGAGTACAGTTCACTGATAACAATGAGAGCAGGGATGGACAGTGAAGGGAAGTTCTGGGATTCCTTTTGGCAGCAGAAATATTTTGTTTCCTGAGGGCTTTGGCCAGGGTAGGAAATATGATCAAGATGATTTAAGACAGATCGATCTGACTGGTGAGGTGCAAGGAGTTAGAAGGGAAAGCTGTGAGGAAAGGAGAGTAGTAAAGTGTCCTAGAAAGCAAACAATGTTAAAACACTGAAAGATGTGAGATTTGGTTGGGGAATCGAGTTCTTGGATTTGAAAATAATACAAAGAGACAGAAGCCCAATGTGGTAAAAAAGCAACTGTTAAAAGAATACATAAAGATGATACCTGAGGGCAGGGGATGTAGCTCAGGGGCACACAGTGCCTTCCTGGCAAGTGTGAGGTTGTGAATTCAAACCCCAGTACAAAAGAAAGAAAGAGATAGAAAGAGAGACAGACAGACCGACAGACAGACAGACAGACAGACAGGCAGACAGACAGGGGAGGGAGGAACCTGAGAATTAACATAAAACTTACTCTGGATTCCAAAACTCTGAAAGTTGCATTTTCATGGATATTCTTAGTGATTTTTTATTGTGTCTGCCATGCCTCAAGGCTGTTTAAAAGCCTTCTAATGCTAATTTGTTGCTCTCAGTTCTGAGGCCACAGGATAGGTTTGTCTGATGTCCTAAATGTAGGTCGTTCAGATTTTTAAAAAAATTAACCATTTGTAATACAGAGTTCAGTCTTAACAAAGCTGACGTTTTGGCCTAGTTGATATATAGAAGGGATACGCCGTGTTCCTTCTCTAAGTGTAGACATCACACTCTGTGGAGTAGTGGAAGACTTTCTGTGCTTGCAGGCAAAAATGTTCTGTATTCCTTTCCAGCATTCTTAGTTTCTTTACTCTTCAATTTTTACTCTACAAGATCCCTGCCTTTTCTCTTTGAATCTTCCTTTCTGCCCTTAATGAAACTTTGCCCTAGCTTTCTTATAAATGGCTTTCTCTTACTTCCTGCTCCTCCTACCTTTGGTAACTAGTAGTTACCACACTGGGCAGTGGAGTTGTGGAGATTGAAGTGTGTTTTTTGGGGGGTTTAGCTCTACAACTTTAAGTTGGGAATTAGCTGTTTTACTGCTGAGACCTTTGGCAGTTGAGTTACATAGTTCCTGCAAGTCAGTTTCCTGCCCTATCTGAAGGATTTTATGGTGGCACAGAGAAGACTATTTAATCCTATGGGAGCTCATGTAGGTGTTGGAATTATGTACTAGATTCCTGTTCTTGTTGTAACAAATTTCCACATATCTAATTAGCAGTTTAAAAGAACACAGATTTATTATCTTACTGTTTTATAAGTTAGACACAAATTCACCAGGCTGTTTCTGATCCTTTCTAGAACCTCCCAAAGGTTCAATAGCAAAGTATTTTCTTGCTCATACCACAGTAATGTATGCACACACGTATTTAAGGGAGCACAGTTAGTAATAGATAAATCTTGAAAATAGCCTACATGCCCATCAATGGATGAATGGATCAAGAAAATTTGATTTTTATGTACAGTGTAGTAATACTGTGCCATAAAGAATAAACTTGAGACATTTTTAGATAATGGATACACTGTGAGACCTTCTAAGTGAAATAAATCAGACACATATGTTTAAATATCATATTGTGTCTTTTCAATGAGATATCAAAAATGTAAATAAGGACCAAGATGGATGATAGATAATGGGAAGTAGGATGAAAATGTTAAAACGGGAAGGAGAACAAGGGAGAGGGAAAGAGGAAGGGAAGGAAGGGAAAAGGAAAAAGAATGGGAGGAAAAAAATGTAAACAAAGCTTTTGTAAGGGGTTAAAGGTTCTGAGAAAGTTCTCAATTAACTATTTACTTGTAGTTCATCTTTTACAAAGTGAGAACAGAAATGTACAGAAATGACGTTATTATAAATATGAAATTGAACAGTTATAATGATCGTATCAAATTATAAGTATTTTTCTAGGATATTTAGCAGCTTTTTTCCATATTAAACAATTACTACTTGTTTTTATTTTTTTAAACTTTTGTTTGTTGCTATTTATATATTTGACATAGATTTCTACTCATTTTTAATTCATTATATAAAAGACCACAACAGTGATTGTAGATTATCATCTTTTAAATATTATACAATGATTATCTTGTAAATAAGTTATAATTTTTGAGACTGAATGTATCATTTTCCTTTTTTATCGTTATTTTATTAGCTAAGAAATCTTTCCAGCTTGGACCTACGTCACATCACTGAATTGGACAATGAAACTGTGATGGAAATTGTCAAGAGGTGCAAAAATCTTAGCTCTCTCAATCTCTGTCTCAACTGGATCATAAATGACAGGTAATTGTTGGAACATTTTAAGTATACTGTTCTAAAGGAAAACAGAAATACTAACAGCGTTTATAACAGGGCATGTCAACATTTAAGTAAAATTGAATGCAGCTTGATTTTTTTAAAAAATTTTATTTTAAAGAGATTAAGATAAAAGAAGACATAACAAAGCAGATCAGAATAGAACAATTTAAGCAACACAGTATTTCACCACAAGACAACCCAATTTAACAGTAGTTACCATAGTGTCTCTTTCCTTGAAATAGTTGAGCATACCTTCATACACAACAGTATCAAACATAACAAAATAATGTAAAACTGTTAAAGAGAATGAAAGTATTACAGGGCATTCAGAGCCAAATAACAGAAAGCGAACAATGGTTACTCTATTGTCTTATCTAGCTTGCTTTTTTAAATCAATATGCATAAGTTAAGAAAATCACCTAGATGTATGCTTTTGTTTTCATTTCTGGGGACTTAACCCAGGATCTTGGGCATGTTAGGCAAGTACTGTACCACTGAGTTCCATCCCCAGCCCTAGATGTATAATCTTAATGCATCTACTGCTTATGAGTGTTGCAGTGTGTATTGATGCAAATGTCTAATTATGGCTAATTATTTCCAGTAGTAGTCCACTATAATAGTAGTTGTAATACAAAATTTTTTGTTATCCACCCAGGATATATTATTTATGTTTATATTTTTGCTACTTTTGTTATTGATTTTACTGTCCATTTGTTAAGGAAAGTGATTATGAAAAACTATCTCAAACCTTATGCATTTAGACCTTTTCTTAATGATGTCCTTTAGATCTTTTCTTAATGATTCTGTTTTCTGTATATATATATTTTGCTTTGGAAAAGTGATAAAGTGAAAAGTTTGCTATATAGTGTTAAAATATATAAAGTATAAAACTTTTCTTATAAATAATGTCAGACTCATTTCTTGGGAATATTATATGAAGGAAGAAAACTACAAAAAAATTCTTCAAAGTAGGCCTTTAAAATAAAAACACTGGCACAGTACTGCTGGCACTACTTATTAGTTGAGGTGAGTTTGGAAGCATAGGCATGAGACAAGTTTCTTTCCCACTCAGCTTAAATACATTTTTTAAAGATAAGCCACCAGAAACTTTATACTTTCTAAATAGAAACCCATATTCCAGATAAAATTATAAAATCTATAGATTGGAATAATTTTTAAAGTAGTAGTTTTAAGTTTTAGATTGATAATGCTTTAAATATAAAGCTCCCACCTGCCACTTTTAATTTTTTTAGACTTTGAAAAAATCATATAATTATATTTTCCTCTATTTTGGGAAATTCTAATCATTTTTTGTTTGCTTTAAATTATTATTATTTAAATTATATAATAGTTTTGATTTTATTCCTTTCTAGTAAAATCTTTTAGATTTTACTTTGTTATTTAAAATTTTTAACTCTATAGAATACAAAATTTATTCATATATATAAATTTTAACAGATATGAGTTATAGAGTACCATATGATGTTTCAATACATTTACATTTTATAATGTTTTAATCAGTTTAAACATGTTTGTCTCTTCAAATATTTATCATTTCTTAATGTTAAAAACGTTCATTACCCTTTCATTTAGATTTTTCAAATATATAGTATGTTATTATTTATAGTTACTTTTACTGTGAATAATGCACTGGAACTTATTTCTATCTAACTATAACAGTATTAGTGAACTTCTGTCATTGGTTGATAATACTCTCAACTGTTATGGGGTCAATGTTTTTAGAGTCCACATATGAATAAGATCATATAGTATCTGTCTTTCTATGTTTGTCTTATTTCATTTAACATAATGATCTTTAGTAACATACAGATTACAGTGTTATGTTTTTTTTGTGGGTGAATTGTAATTCATTATGTACATGTACTGTATTATGCTTGTCCATTCATCAGTTGATGGAAAGTTAAGTTGATTCTATTTGCTTGGCTATTATGAATACAGTGCAATAAATGTGGAAGTATAGGTGTGTCTTTGATGATGTCATTTCCTTCGGATATGAATGTGTGTGTGTGTGTGTGTGTGTGTGTGTGTGTGTGTGTGTGTGTGTATAGTTGTGGGATTGTTGGATGATATAGATGTCCTACTTTTAATTTTTCAAGGAGCTCCCATACTGTTTTCTATGATTGATGGTACTAACTGACTTTACTACCAGTATTTCATAGGGATTCCTTTTTCTCCACATCTCACTAGTACTTGTTATTTGTTGATTTTTGATACAGCTCTCCTTACTTGTGTGGTATCTTATTGTGGTTGTGATTTACATTTCCCAGATGATCAGTAATATTGAGCATTTTTTAATACATCTATTGGTCATTTATGTATCTTCCTTTGAGAAATGACTATTTAGATCTACTGCGATTATTCAGTTGGTTTATTTGTTTTTGTTGGTATTAAATCCTTATATATCCTGGATGTTTATCCCTTGTATAGTGTACGGATATTTTCTCCCATTCTGTAGTTTCTTTTCACTGTGAGGATTATTTCCTTAGCTCTTCAAGAGCTATTTAGTTTTGTGTAATATAACTTTTAAAATTTAGCTTTGTTTCCTATGCTTTTGAGATCTTGTCTAAAACATATTCGCTCATTACAATGTCATGAAATGTTTCCCTTATGATTTCTTCTTGTGGTTTCACAGTTTCAAATGACAGCATGTAAGTGTTTAATTGCTAACTTTTTTTCTTGAAACATTTACTAATGTTTCAAATTTTTTACATTCCCTTAAAATTCACTTGATGTAATGTGCATATGTGATTATGATATATGAAATATTTTTATTTTTTATTAATACTCATTATACAAATATACCAAAATCTAAGAAAAATTGATGTGAATTTAAAAATTCATTTTTTATATTCCAGTAACTAACATTTTCCTGTATAGACAATTATATGAGAATTTAGAGTAAGCTCTAGGAAGATTTTTCATAACAAATAATAAAATAAGAACATAAATATTATCTTACGGTTTTAGTTGTTTAACATTAGTTGAATACTGAGATAAATTTCTTTGTTATATATTTGATTAAAGTGGTAAGACTCTTCTGCAATAAAATGATTTTATTTCATGACAATTGTCTGTATATCTGATATATTGTGACCATTGGTAAATAAGGTGTAGTCCATATATAATTATGTATATGGAGTATCTCCTAAGTAAACACTTGCATAGGTTTGTATTATTTTGACAAAAATATTTAGGGATTTCTAGTTTTTAAACTCTTTAAATGTTTATTGAGCCAAAATGGTTAATATACAAATGAAAATATGATCAGTGTTCTCTTTGGTTTCCTTCTCTTCGTTAGGCACCCTGCACTCAAACCTTTCACTGTTTCTGTCATTTTCTCCTACTTAAACTGTAATGGTTATTTGGTGTTTGATCCTAAATATATGTATTGAAGAGATTTATTTGCAAGGAATGAAAGTGTGTTTTTATGTGTTTGATGGAAAAGTTTGGATTAATTGGGAAAACATGCATTTTAATGAGGTTGAGCAATAGAGTTTAAAGATCAGACTCTTTTAGGTTTTAATTACCTACTTGCACTTATCCCGTGTACTGTAATAGAAGTTTCAACATTAAAATCCACTTTGCAGTATCATCTAAATTGCTCATCTCATTGTTCTTGCCATACTATATTACTAACTTAAGTAATATTTGTAATTATATTGGTGTAAATCTAGGACTTCCCATCAGACTTAATTATAATTTCAGCACTTAGCAGAGATGGGTTAGTAACCTTTGATATGGAGGGTACTGGGATGCACTAATGCATTTAGCCTATCAATTAGCTTCTGTTTTACATTTGTTCATTATTATTATCCTTTTGTAAATCAGAAAGCATGTATTAACCTCCTACTAAATACTTGGTACTGTGTCTCAGACTGTGAATACTGAGACTGTTGCTCTCAAAGGTCATTCTTCCTAGGTGACATACAACTTAATGCTAATGAGTCTTGTAAGGATAGAGGGGAGGAAAGAAACCTTTATTACCCAGTTAATTGATAGGCAATTTATATGTGTTCTCATTTATACCTTGCAGTATGTTTTGTCCAAGGGAAAGTCATACTATTTCTGTTATATTGAGACCATTTGTTTGACTTTTCTGTGGCTTTTAATGACTGTACTTTTTGTCACTGTGCAGTAAAAATTGGGTAAGGACAAATAAGAAAAAGTGAATGACTCATGAGTCCATTTTCCATTTGATAGCTGTAGTTCACACACAATTGATATTGATATGTAAAATTCTTGATTTTTCGCTTTTATTGAGCTCATTGTTTTCAATAATAGAAAGTATATGGATAATGTTTTATATATAATACCTATTATAAGGACCTGTATTTTATTGTGGTAGTTTTAAAAATGATTCCTCACATTAAATTTTAATGCTAGTCTCAGTTCTTTTTCCATAAGATTTCCCCTGGGTTTTGAAAGTTATTGTCTGTGAATATTATTTTTGAAAATCAAATTTAAAAATAGGTGATAATTGAGTGACTTTACTGTTTGCTGATGGTATATGTTTGCATTTAGTCTTCCTGGAATTGATCTGTGTGACTAAGATATGCTGTTCTTTATCTTTGTTTTTCTAAAAGCACTTTTTGTTTTGAGAGAGTTAAACAGCATAGTATTTCCTTGTATTCAAATGGATGGTCTAGTAGTTATTTGATATTTACCATTGCTTTTGAACACAAATAAATCTAACTTTTATGAAAAGGGAACAGTATTTCTATCATTGATTTAAATTAAACATCTGGTTATTATGTCTGTTCTACTCTCCAACTCCTTTTATTGAAATAGTTGTACTTTCTATAAAATTTCTGTTATTTTATATACAATCTTTAGAATTTTTGTGTGTCTAAAGAACACAAGAATCTAAAAGAAGTATGTTTTGGATATAAAAAGTTGATAGGTAAAAAACTGAATGGTTCTGAGCATCATCATAGCAATATATTTATAATGACTCCTTTGTGGTT